CCTTGGACAAGTAGTTTTAAAAAAAAATTCCACACCCCTGAGGTGGGTATCTCCAATGGAAATAGTGCTACATACTGGTTATTGTAACTGAGTTATAACCACACATAAAAGTGATATGTCTTATAGTAGTTTCCACTTACTGTCATTTCTACCAGATTAATTCTGATTGGTTGATATGGATCACTGCTTTATACATATCCTGTGTTAATACGCTTTTTCTTTTTAGTTTCTCAAAAATTGTAAATATTACAATATAAAGTTAAACCTAACCACACATTATAAAATCAGATTATAAAATGACATTCAGATTTACCAGCAATGATGAAAATATTACCAATATATCCCAATAAAATTAATATAATGTTCACCTACTTTGTTATTGTCTCAACTCCCACTTTCACTTTGACTTGATCCTTATTAAGCGTGTAAATCTTCATAATGGATGCAGAAATTAGATCAGTGTGCGACAGCTAGCAAGAGAAATACAGACAGACACGTGGAAATTAGCTCACTCCATCTGCATAAAGCATGAAAATAAGCTAAATCAACCTTCTGATCTAAAAGTATAAATTAAATATGCCCATACTCACCATCTCTATGGCTTTTCTAATGTGTGATTTTTCCTCCTCTTTCCGTACTATCTCTCCTGTTAGTGGGCATCTGTACAGAACATTACACATAGAAGTAGATTCCTTTTCAGGCGCAGACATATTCTGTCAAAAGAGTATACATATTAGTCTTCTCCACCACAGCTGGTTATTTTAGTTGATGTCAGGGAACCAACTTACTTTGCAACTTGGGATAATATTCATTTCCTGATGAACTTCCAGGGGCTCTGTCACTAAAAGGACATTTCATTGATTAGTAAATGTATACTAAGATATGTGCACATGTTCTGTAAATGGACATATAAAATACCTGTAATAAAGAAATAAATAAATGGGCAATGCAGAATGGTGGCATTAAATAACTCATGTTTTCTATTTTTAAGGTATAAGTTTAGAAAATAAACTGAGAATTGGCCATGTCAAAATCTAATTGTACTATTTACCTAGTTGAGATAGAGTTATACAGAAATTTAAAGGCACATTTGTAAAATATGATTGAAACATTGGCTCGATAACTAGAACCAAAGTAAAAGAGCTAAGTAAAATGCAAAGTTAACCACACACATTTTAAAATCAGATCATACAATGGCCTTCAGATGTACCAGCAATTATGTACAGAGAGAGTATCTGAATTTCTATGCACTGGTCTGGTAAACCCTCACACTACATAGTTACTGGAAACCATAAAGACATACAGTATAAAAATATGTGGGGTGCACGCCAAACAATCCAAAAAGTGGTTTGTGCAACAGTCATCAGGCATCGACTGGGCTCAAATTTAAATATCTCAAAAAGGTTATTCTGCATTAAGAACTTCAAAAAGTGTTTGTTCAAAGTTACCTCTTTTATTTGCACATTTTCAGACAACTGACTAAAAGTAACTTTACTATCCCATATATACAGAAACATTTGGAGCTTCACACAGCTCTTTTTCAAGTAGGGAGTATGCAACAAAACAAACCAACCCAGCCATTTAAATACACCCCACAACCAATCAAACCCTGACCGTGTGGACGTGTGGGCGTTCTTGGCAACAATAGATCTCAGGGATGCATATTTACACATCCCGATATGGAAGTCCTCTCAGGAACTGCTGCGGTTATAGGACCGGCTGGGGTTCTCCATTTTCAGTACAGGGCACTGCCCTTTGGACTGTCGTCCGCACCAAGGATTT